CACACCCCGTGTATGAATGCCGGCACGGCATGCGAGAGGATGGCGTGGCCAGCACCATGCTTTCCCGGCCACCTTTGTCTCCCCAGTGCTGCTAATTACACAGCGCGCACCAGGGAAAGTCATTCAAAGCCGAGTCGAAAGACCGAAGGCCCTAGGAACCGGTTCAAATATTCGCCAGTTATTGGTCGTGACACGGGATTTGAACTCTGGTCGCCGTTTTCGTAGAGCAGCTCGCTAACCACTGCACTACCGCTCCCCGCATATACACACACACACGTGCACGCACACACACCGGAACACACACAAACGCACAAGCCTACACAATCATACGGAACACGTCCACGGAGATTTGAGAGCACCTGGGGGGCTCACCTGAAAATACGTCTACCTGCACACCGAGCACATGGGGAACTCTCCTTCACGGACCTCACAAGCAAACGCACGGGGGCGCGCACAACCTTCGCGCGCGTGCACGCACACACACACACAGGGGGTTAACACCCCAACACGCCCTGTACCTCCACACGCCTTCGCAGCACACCTGGGAGTGCACACCACCTCCTGCCTACACACACCTGAACACATTTTATTGTACACGGCCCCGAATACGCCGGGCGTCGACGCAAAACCTTCACACCCCGACACACTTCTGTACACAAAACGAGCACACGCGCTAACGCATATTCACAAAGGCCCCCACCACCCCCCCCCCCCCGTGTAGCCTTTTAACAGACTTTCGGGGCAAGTGCTCTTCGCGAGCACCTATGAAGGCCGGTACGGCACACGAGGGGGTGGTATGGTCAAGCACCACACCCGGACCGCCTTTGTCTCCCCAGCGGCTGTTGTTTACACACCGCACCGGGTACTCATTTAAGGCTGAGTCGACCTAGCGGACGCCCAGGAGCGGTTCAGATATTCGTCACCGATGTTGGCTGTGAGCGGGAATCAACACAGAAAAAGAAAAAAAACTTCGGTCGGCAGGTTCGTAGCACAGCAACACGGGATCACCACTGCACTAGCACACCACTTTCACATACACACACCTGGCGCACACACACACACACCTGGCGCACACACACACCTGGCGCACACACACACTCACCACTTTCACATACACACACCTGGCGCACACACACACACACGGCACACACACACACCTGGCCCTTCCCTAAATACGCGGAGCAAAGTGGCACGCGGCGTGGCTCGCAAAATCACGGTGCTCCTAACCCGCGGGGTTACCCACAGCGTGCACGGTCATCGCCGCGGCGATTAATTAAGGGGAAGGGGGGGAGGAGAGGGGATGGCGAAGGGGGTGGATGTTCGAACGGCAACCGCGTATACTCATCCCGAAGGATTCGGCGAAACGCGAGTCGTGAAACAGATTGTGAGACGCGCATCCCAACTTTGTTCTTTCCGTCCGCGTTAAACAGAGGAGAGACGTCGAGCGCGCTCGGGAGCCACCGAGCCGCGAGGCGGCGGCGATCCGGAACGCACCGCAAGCGACCCCACAGTCACACAGTCACGGATCGGTGGCGACCCTGGGGTTGATTCGCGCTTTCGCCCCCCCACCCACCGCCATCACCAATGCGTCGTCGTCAGTCCCCGTTAGACCGGGGGGGGGGGAGGGGGTCAGCCAACCTGCGGCTCTGGAGGCGTATGCAGCTCTTTACAGACACAGCAGCTTCGTGACCTAGTGCGTGTCTTGTGTGTTTGCAATCGCGCGCAATGCGGCTCTTTGTGACATTTTAGAGTTTTCGTGCACCGAATTCGTCCCCCCCCCCAAAAAAAAAAAAAAAACCGAGGCTCTTCTTGCCATTGTGGTTGCCGCCCCCCCCCCCCCCCCTTTGCGGCGTTCGACATTGCGTCCTGCTCGTCGCACGAGCCGGGCACCCCCTCCCCCACAACCCCGTGTGCGGCGGGCGTCTCCCCCATCACGCGCGGCGGCGTCTCCCCCATCACGCACGGCGGCGTCTCCCCCATCACGCACGGCGGGCGTCTCCCCCATCACGCACGGCGGCGTGTTCGCGCGTCGGAGACAAACTCGCAACTCTGACGCGCGCGGGGTTCCCTCAAGACCCCGCGCGTTATCGTCAAGGGCGCGTATCGAATTTCCGTCGATCGACCACGCATTTCATCCGCAGGGGGCAGAGCCGTTGGGTCTCGAAGCTATTCAAAGCTGTTCCGTCGGCGACACCGATGGTTGCTGCTGCCGTTGCATGCGGGCCTCCCGTTGCTGCATCAGCACAACGATAATTATCAAGTTATCAACGAGACGAAAACAATTATACATTTAAACGAAGCATAAATAATATCGTTACCTCTCTCCCCAAAAGGCGGGCCCATCAGGACGGGTTATGGAAAACGTTCCAATGTTAGGTCTGGGACTTACATTTCAAATGGACATTGGAACCCGGCACGGCACATTGCGCTCGGTATACCTCTCGTGACTTCCATGGCTACTCTATCACGTGGCCCACAATGCTCGCGTCTGAGCAGCGACGCCCATTGAACATTCAGTGAAAAATCCAATCCCTGGTTCGATTGGTTAATAACGGACGGGCGATCCATTTATAGACACCCCAACTCAAGAGAGCATTTAAAACATTTCATGAGTTCTGCTGAGAATGGTGGGAGGCATGCAGAGGCATTTTCTCTCATTTCTCATTGTTTTAAATGTCGCGAGTGTCCTACAAATGTTAAAGGCGCAGCCCTGCGATTGCTTGCGTCACTGCTGGCGCAAGGGCCTCCTCACAGAGGGAGCCTCTGGAGTGCCGCCACCACCAGGCGGCCTCTATAAACGAATCACCACCAGACATTGGAAATCTCAGTGCCCATGTGTGCGTGGATGCCCGACGGCGTGGCTATTTATGACGACCCGGCTCACGGCAACGCTCCACCGGCGCGCGCGCATGTCTGCGTGCCGACACCAACCGCAGCAGCATCATCATCATCATCGCAGCGCGACGACAAACCATGCCGCCCGTTTCCACGAGCAAGAGCGATGGTGGCGATCGCGCCGATGACGCAAGTGGTTTCAATCCGTCACTCGTGCGAAACGGCGTTTCATTCATCCCCCGCCGGCACGGCGGTGACGCCGGACCGCCGTCGGTCGAGCGCACGGCAAACCATCCGTGCCCATGTGTGCGTGGATGCCCGACGGCGTGGCTATTTATGACGACCCGGCTCACGGCAACGCTCCACCGGCGCGCGCGCATGTCTGCGTGCCGACACCAACCGCAGCAGCATCATCATCATCATCGCAGCGCGACGACAAACCATGCCGCCCGTTTCCACGAGCAAGAGCGATGGTGGCGATCGCGCCGATGACGCAAGTGGTTTCAATCCGTCACTCGTGCGAAACGGCGTTTCATTCATCCCCCGCCGGCACGGCGGTGACGCCGGACCGCCGTCGGTCGAGCGCACGGCAAACCATCGCCGGCTCAGCGGACGACCGGGATAAGCGACGACACCGCCGCGATGTTATCGGCCAACGCGTAAACTCCCCACTGCCCCCTTCACCACCCCCCCCCATCTCATCGCGTCTGATAATCTCGAGCGAAGAGACCACCGATTCAAAAACGTGCGCCGCAAAATCACGCGTGCCCCGGCTTTACCGACAAGCTCCGTCGCTGGCCCGGCGACGCAACCGTGCATCCGGGGGATGCAACGGAACGCGACGGCGTTCGAACTCCGTACGACGTTTGGCGAGCGTGTGAGCGTGACGCGAGTGCGGTGGTGTGCGGTGGTGTGCGGTGGTGTGCGGCGGTGCCACGAGGGTTGAGACCATGTTTCATCTTGCGAGCTTCTCGAAAAAGTAATCTGCAACTCCGTCCCATCTGTAAAATACATTCCATGACCCCGAAAGAAGATAACGTTAACTCTTAACGAGTATATTCAACACCTACCCTCCTCGCCTTGACGGCATCAACCTGACAAAAACCCCCAACGCCTTAACGCGCCACTCTAACAAAGCCTAAACCGTCAGCCTAACTCTTAAAACGTTACCCTAAATACACGTAAGGGCGGTAAATCTCCAACCTCCATCTTCAAAGTGCAAAACCCGCGGTGGGAGGGGAAGGGGGGGTGGTGGGACTGTGAGACAGACCCAGGAAGGGCGGTGGTGGTGGCACCTGCTTCTTTTCCACTGGCACAACCGAGCCGTGCTGGGGCCATGCCAAGCCATCCCGGCATGGATGACGCGGTGACTCGTGGGGATGACGCGGTGACTCGTGGGGATGACGCGGTGACGCGTGGGGATGACGCGGTGACTCGTGGGGATGACGCGGTGACGCGTGGGGATGACGCGGTGACTCGTGGGGATGACGCGGTGATGCGTGGGGATGATGCGGTGACTCGTGGGGATGACGCGGTGACGCGTGGGGCTGACGCGGTGACGCGTGGGGATGACGCGGTGACGCGTGGGGCTGACGCGGTGACGCGTGGGGATGACGCGGTGACGCGTGGGGCTGACGCGGTGACGCGCGGGGATGACGCGGTGACGCGCGGGGATGACGCGGCGACGCGCACAGTGAATGCGTCGTTAGGTCCGCCCCTGGCGCTGCTTGGCCCCGAGCCAAACTCAAAAGTCTGGCTCGGGTTCAAGAGCCAGCGGGAAACCGCCCTGTCCCCCGCGTGCTGGCTGGGCTCGGGTGTGCCAGTGGGGGGGGGGAGGAAAAAAAAAACCCCAAGGGGGGGTTGGTAGAGGCGACGATGAACGTTGCGGGGTGGCCACACCCCCAACGCGCTCGCCTCACGGCGCGCCGCTTGCGCCATCGAGCACCACGACGGCTCGCAGGCGGCCAGCGGGCAGGCGGCCCCACGGCCCCACGCACAGCGGCAGATCGCAAAGCGGCCGGCGGCGGAGAGGGAGGGGAGAGCCAGCCAGCCTGGCCGCGTTTAGTGTTGGTCTGTACAGGCCCCAAGTCACAAGAGCCCCGCTACACAGCACTGTGGTACACAGCTTCGCAAATCCTCACGAGCGACCAGAGACAGAGAGAATATTCAACTTCTACAATAATTTTACATTGACAATATTTACAATCATGTTCCTTTTCTTTTTTTCCTGCTTACTTACTCGAGTTCCGCTTTTCTTAAAACAGAGTATTATTTTTAAACTGATCCTTTTCATTTACATTTACGGTTTCACTCACTCCCCCCCACTCCCCCCCCCATCTATTTTTCGTTGCTCTTCTCCGCTTCCGTCTTCAACTACATTCACAACTCGGGGGGGGACGCGTCGACGCATTTTTCCCAGCAGCAAAATGACGCGCGACGGATTCGTGGCGCGGTGGCGGTGGATGAAGCGTGACAGTCAACACTCAAAACGATAACGGATGGGGGGCCGGGGGGGGAATAAAAAAAACAATAAACTGTGGGTGCCTGAGCGCGGGAGGCGCCGGTTGCCCGCGAGCGGCGGACAGCGCCGGCGGCCCCAACGTCGGCAGACATCGTCCGTTCCTCGCCTCCGTCCTAGCGGGAAGGTGGCGCACGGAGAGAGAAGAGCGAACGCGGAACGGCGCGCGATTAGGCGACAGGGGTGTGGGAGGACGCGACGAGAGCAACACAACAGAAAGGGGTCGAGCATTTTACCGCGCGACGTTACGAACTCGATCCCGACCCTCACGCCTGCGGTGTCGCCCTCTGTCCCCGCGGTCGTGCGCATTTTTCTCCGGGCCCTTTGTTTTTTTTTCCCCCCTCCACATTTAGAATCGACGCGCATTCAGAGCATTTGGCCGCTATAAATGTCCACGTGGTGACGATAGGCCGCTTCGCTGCGCTACCGTTTGCGAAAGCGAGGTCGCTTCTGAAAAAGAGCTACATAGCTCGGTGGGGCCTCGCCTGGAATAATAATAGTTTAAACTTTGATTTAAAGCTTTCGTGACTGCAGTGATTGATATTCTTGGTTCTTTCGGTAAAGTCACGTTGAAGGGAAACAATAAAATAATAAAATGTATGTAAAACAATAAAATTCTCACGACGTTTCGACTGCAACAAAAGCAGTCATCATCAGGTGTTAAAACCAACGGCAAGAACATTTGAAAGAAGTTTAGTTTGTTAGTTAAGGGTGAAGGCGGGTGAGCGATGGGGCGGGTGAGCGATGGGGCGGGTGAGCGATGGGGCGGGTGAGCGATGGGGCGGGTGAGCGATGGGGCGGGTAGCGCCGCACCTCAGGCCAGCGAGTCTCCGTTCTCCTCGAAGGCGATGAGCGGGGGGTTTGGCGGCAGCGGCGGTGCCGTCGCGCTGCCGACGGTGTCGGCGGCAGCGTCGCCACCCTCGGCCGTCACCGCCGCCTTCATCGACCGCGGCTCCATCGCGAGGTCGATCAGCTCCTCGAAGTCTCGCCCGTTGCTGGAGAGGGAGGGCGAGAGAGCGCGAGGGAGGGAGGCAGAGAGGGAGAGAGGACAAGCGAGAGACACGGGGTGGTGCGGGGGGGGGGCGGCAGGAGTGTGGGGGGCAAAGGGGCAGATGCGCGCGTCACAGGGTGGAAAGATCCAACTTAAAAACAAATAATCTCATCTTGAATAACCGAGTGGCCGAGCTACGTGATCCGTTCATTGAGCCGCGTGTCCGCGGGTCATTCATCGAGGCGCGTGCGCGACTCATTCACAGCCAGGCGTGCGATTCATTCAGGGAGCCGTGCGCACGAATTATTCACAGAGCCGCGCACGCCCCGCTCGGTGCGTGGCCTCACCTCCCCTCCGTGGTCAGGCTTCCGACTGCCGCGCTGCCGTTCCCGGTGGGCGCCTCCCGAGCGTGCGTCTGTCCGTTCAAGCTCAGCAGCCCTGCAACGCGGTCACCCCACCGGCACCGCACGTGCCACGGCCTCCGTTTTAGCCGGCGCGTCTACGAAGCCGACCGCAGCAACTCCGCCGTCGTTTAACCATGGCGAGGCGCTCAAGCGTGGAGGACGACAGGGGTAGGAGACGCATTCGCGAGAGGGGCCTGAAAAATCTAATCGATAGTGAAAATTTGATTCAATTGTCTGTTGAATAGTGGAGGGGGGTTGTTAAAAATGTGCAAAACATCTTCACGGTGATCCAACCCAAACGTAGCTAATTATGAATGATAATTACGACCAGTTAAGTAAATTCGAGGCAAACAAAGGGTAGAAGCAGATACCCAGTTCACCATGCTGAATCTGCAACATGTCACCGATGGCACGGAAGAGGTGGGGCTCTGTAATAGGCCTGCTGCTGTCGTGTACGGATCAGAAATACGGACCCTTGACAAAGCAAATGGGACAGAGGCCGAAAAGTGCGTAAAGAAGCATCGGAGAGATGCACGCTTGGAATTACACCGAGAGAGTAAACAACCAGGAACACATCGGGCACATCGCCTAGTATACACAGGAGATTGTGGGTTCAATCCCTACCCAGATTCCTGTATATTTGGAGTTTGCATGTCTCTCTCCCCGTGGTCGCGTGGATTTTTCTCTGGGGCCTCCGGTTTTTCCCTCCACATTTGTAATCAACATACATTGAGAGTGTTTGGTTGCGATACAATTCCACTTTGTTGATCGATCATTTGGGGCCGGGTCACGCCTAAAAAGTAACTATATAGCTCAGTGGGCCTTACTTGGTCAAATAAAAAAGTTTAGTTTATGCTTGCAGACTTTACCTGGCGAGTCTCCCGTGTCACCGTTGCTCTGCTGATCTGGAGTATCCTCAAGGTCCTTCCCCCCCTCTTTCTGCTCAAATGCACTCGGCACAAACGCAAGCGACCGCACAGTCAGGGCCTGCGTTATCAACATCATGCGCATCGTGAGTACCGGCATTACCATCACCACCACAATCACCATCATCATCAGCACCATACAGGCATCGGCAACAGCACCAACAACATCAATTGCAGCATCGTTGCACGCCTAAAATAAGAGTGGCCAATGTCACCACGCCTCCTCCATCGCCCCCTTCTGCCCTCTATATCCCTAAACCCACGGGACTGAATTGTTACAGAGCCAAAGGTAGTTTCCATTTCCACGCCCCAAGTGCCCCTCGCCCCAGATGTACCTCCTTGTTGGGTTCCGATTTCCTTGTCCGCTTCATAATTTGCTCCAAACGCTGCAGACAGAGAGACACGACGCAAGGCTTAGTGAACAACTGGTGAACGCTAAGAAAGCTACGATTCAAAGTGGAAAACTGGGAAGGGTTGTGGTGGCAAATGCTATGGGCGATTCAGATTCGTAAAAGCTTTCGTCGAAATTGGTGGGAGAGTGCATTGTGGGGAGTAGAGTGAATTGAGAGGTAGGAGAGTGCATGGAGGAGAGTGGATTGAGATGAGAGGGGAGAGGCAGGAGAGTGAGTGGAGGGGAGTAGAGTGAGATGAGAGGGGAGAGGTAGGAGAGTGCGTGGAGGGGAGTGGATTGAGATGAGAGGGGAGAGGTAGGAGAGTGAGTGGAGGGGAGTAGAGTGAGATGAGAGGGGAGAGGTAGGAGAGTGCGTGGAGGGGAGTGGATTGAGATGAGAGGGGAGAGGTAGGAGAGTGAGTGGAGGAGAGTAGAGTGAGATGAGAGGGGAGAGGTAGGAGAGTGAGTGGAGGGGAGTGGATTGAGATGAGAGGGGAGAGGTAGGAGAGTGAGTGGAGGGGAGCAGAGTGAGATGAGAGGGGAGAGGTAGGAGAGTGAGTGGAGGGGAGTAGAGTGAGATGAGAGGGGAGAGGTAGGAGAGTGCATGGAGGGAAGTAGAGTGAGATGAGAGGGAGAGGTAGGAGAGTGAGTGGAGGGGAGTAGAGTGAGATGAGACGGAGAGGGAGGACAGTGCATGGAGGGGAGCAGAGTGAGATGAGAGGGGAGAGGTAGGAGAGTGCATGGAGGGGAGTAGAGTGAGATGAGACGGAGAGGGAGGACAGCGCGTGGAGGGGAGTGGAGAGGGGCGAGTTGCTGCAAGTCGGAGAGGTGCGTGGAGCGAGCAGGCGGCACCTTTTTCCTCTCGAGCCGCTCCTGCTCCTCTTTGTGAGCCTGGCGAGCGCGCTCCACGCGCTGCTTCTCAGCCTCCTCCCTCGCCCGCACCTCTGCCTCCTCCCTCTGTCGCACGCACGCACGCACAAAGATCCCCCGCGTAGCCGTTAGACTGGTGGGGCAAGCGCCGTTAGCGAGAAGCACCTATTAAGGGCGGCAAGGCACACGAGGGGGTGGGTGGCCGGTACCACGCCCGGCCACCCGTCTCCTCGGTGGCGATGTTTATTCCACACAGCACCAGGCACTCATTTCAGGCGGAGTTGACCTACAAGAGGAGCAGGAGCCGGTTCGGCTATTCGCCGCTCATGTTGGCCGTGAGGGGGAATTAAACTTGGGCCATCAAGGGTCCGTAGCGCAGCGCGCTAGCTGCTGCGCCGCCGCTCCCCCACGCACGCACACACGCATGCGTAAGGACGCAAAAAAACACGCGAGCGACGCGCGTATCGGGCGGGGAGCTGTGGGCACGGACGAGCACCTGCTTCTGTATCTCCACCTGCCGCTCCCGCTCCTCCGTCTCCCTCCTCTCGCGCTCCTCCTCCGCTCGCCGCCGCTCCTCCTCCTCCTGCACCCGGCGCTCGTCCTCCAGCCGCCGCGCCTCCTCCTCGCGCCGTGCCCTCTCCTCCGCCTTGCGGCGAGCGATCTCCTCCTTCATGCGCCTGCCGAGAGCGGAGGGAGGGGGACGCCGCTAAACGCCAACGCCCGTAGACCGGGACATCTGTATTCACGTGGGCCAATGTTGAACCTACGCGAGTGCGTGCGATATAAGAGCGCGCGAGTGGGGCACGTGTACAAGAGCGCGCGAGTGCAAGCAAGCGGTCGTGCGGTCGTCACTTCTCGGCCTCGGCGTGAGCGATGCGCTCCTGCTCCTCCTTCTCGCGCTGCTCGCGCGCCAGCTTGCGCTTCTCGGCCAGGGCCCGCGTCGCGTCCTCCGCGTTGGTGCTCCCTGCGAGACTCTTCCCACCACCGCCGCCCGACGCCGCCTTGGCCTCGTCCGAGCGACCCTTCCCGCCCGGCGTCCGCGTCGCGGCCTCCTCCGTGGCCGCGCTCGGCCGTGCCGCATCGCCCTCCGCCGCCCCGGACTTTTTGGGAGTCTTGGTCGCCGCGGCGGCCGTCGCGGTTGCCGCCGCCGCCGCCGCCGCCGCCTCCGCCACCGGCGGCGGCGGCGGCCGCGCAGTTTCGACGGGCCCCGTCGTCTCGGCCGTTCTGGCGCCGCTCTCTCTCCCGGCGCCGTCGGCGGCGGGGTGATCTTTGGGCGACGGTTTGCCGTCGACAGGGCTTTGGTCCCCTTGCCGTTTACCGCCCGCCGGCGCCTCTTGAGTGGAGACGGTGGGTTTGGTGCCGGCGGCGGCGGTCTCGTCAAACCACCCGGAGGCGGTGGGCTCTTCCGATTCGTCACTGTCGACCACAGGAGGGGCCTCTTCCACTGCGGGAAAAGAGGGGTGAGGTCGGCTCGTTAGGCACGGTAAATAGTAAATCTACTGGACATCTGCGAAAACTACTGGATGTGTGTGAAAAAGAGTGTCGTAGCTCTTCGGACTCGTCAAGTAATAGATAGCGATTCTGAAATGGTTCAGCCGCGGGTCTTTTTGTTCCCAACTGCAGAAAACACAGCAACGCAGGGAGAAATGTATAACAATTGCAGAATCCCTTTGGACTTGAATGGCCTCTACTCGGGACCACGTTTCAAGACGCTGTACAGAAAGAGCGAGCAAATGTATTAGAAAGAGCGAGGGAGAGCGAGAGAGAGGCAGTCAGTCACTCTTGGTCAGAGGAGATGGGGAGGGTCTCGAGCCTGGACTTGAACAGGTGGGCAGGGAGTCGACAGCATGGATGCCTGGGGGAAGTGAGATTCATACTGTGGGAGGACAATGAGCAACAAATATTTGAAACGTGAAAACCTCACAGAGTCCCATAATGTGACTCCTTTTGGAGGACAAGCTGCCCACTAGGATTGCATGAACTGCTGAGCGGTGAGAATCAGGTGAGTCTATAACCGGTGAGAGTCAGGTGGGCAAGTGGTGAATCATTTAGGGCCAGGTGCGTGTCATGCGAGTGTCACATCAACCCCGCCAGTAGGAACGGCTGCCCACTTAAAAAAAAAAATCAGGAGTGATTTCCTGCTGCTCAAATAGGCACTGCGGCAGTCCTCATCACTTGCTTAGAGCCCTGAGCCAGTTGTGAAAATTCCACGTTCCTACAACAGGGGCAAGACTCCCCATTGCGCAAACCACTGTTGACTTTCCAGCAAAGATCTACTCATTTTATCGACCCCGGGGGATGAGTGACGATGGGGCCGAGTCAACCCCCAGTCAGGAACTCGTTGCAACCTTTGAATTGCAAGCCGCTTCGCTCTCCTGCCGAGCCACCTGGCCCGCTGGTTTACAGTCAACTTGGCATTCGTGCCATTCCCACAGAGCAAGGCTCATCACGAAGGAAGGGGCCGCAATTCCACACAGAAGTCTGCCTTGTCGGCAGCGATGGGTGCCGTGCGGTTTTACCCAAAAAAATACATTTTTAAATGTAATGTAATAAAAAAAACACGGTGCGCGTACCGACGATGGTGGGCATACGCATCATCTCTCCTCGTGCTCTCTCGGCACCCGGCTTCTCCTCCTCCTTCTCCTCCACCACCGGTACCGGCGCCGCCGCCACCACCGCCGCCGCCGGTGCCTCAACCACTTCCGCCGGTGCCCCATCGGCGCCTCGACGCTCCGTCGCCGGCGTCATCGCCGCTTTCTCGCGGTACCCGCCGGCGGCCTGTGGTAAAGGCGACGGTGGCGGCGGCGGCAGCGGCGACACAGGCGCGGCCCCGTTGGGCGTGGCGACCTTCGACCCCGCCGCTGGGGGGGATGACAACTTGGGCTTCTTGGCAATGGCCGGCCTCTTCTCGTCCTTGGCGGTGGCGGCATTGGCTCGCTCCTTCTCGGCCTTCGTCTCCTTCTTCTCTTTCGCGTCCTTCACTTCCTTCGCTTCCTTCACGTCCTTCGCGTCCTTTCTGTCGACACGGGGCCGCGGCGTTTGCGGCCCCGACGGGGGCTTGGAGGACACGAAGGCGGCGGTGGCGGCTGGCGACGGGTGGTTGGCCCTCACGGGCCCCGAGGTCTTGCCCGACGTAACGGGCGTGGTGGTGCCGCCGGTCTGCGGGCAGGACCTGCGGCGAGCAGACGCGGCGCCGATGGTAACCCAGCACATTTGGTATTCGCGCCGTTTCTTACAGTGCGGGGCTGACCGTGAAGGAAGGCGCTGCGTTTTAAAGACGAGGCGTGCAAGTAGTTTAGCAGCCGGGGGCGATGTGTTGCTGCGTGTGATCCCGATCGAGTCATTTGCGTTGTGCAACTTTGTCAAATTTGGTAGATTCGGACCGTGACGCAGGCACGCAATGGGCGACTGTGAACGCCTTTCGAGGTTTAACACACCCACGGAAATATAACCGGGGCGGGCCAGCTGGATTCGAGACCGCGAAAACCCCTGCAACAAGCGGCCAACGTGCCAGCGTCCGGGGGTCGTGACGAGTCACCGCGGGAAGGTGACGCGGAGGTGACCGACGGCCGGCAGAGCGGGGAGGGCGAATCGGTGAGCGCCGGACCGTCGACCGACCCGACCGTGACACAACCGTGGCGGCGTCGACGTTGGACTCGGTCGTGAAAAGGCTCAAGCCACCGGTTGAGGAAGAGGAGGCGGAGGAGGGTCGTACACTTTTGACAATTGCATTGGTCGCGCTTAAAAAAAAATCACGTGTGTAAAAAATCACGTGTGAACGTGAGAGTATGGTCGGGTGGTGGCCGTCGGTTAACGACTACATGAAGCTAGCGCCACGTGACCTAACCCAACGTACAAACACGGGATCATCGCATCGTCTACGAGAACACACGTTTTGCATTAACCGTAGAATTCCATCAGTAGCTAGGAAATGTGTTGCCGATGATGATAACGGTTACAACAATGTGGACTGTAGAGGGAGGGAGAGAGGGGGGAGGGGGGATGAGGGCACTCCCGGGGAGGGGGGGGGGGAGTGGGAGAGGACCTGGGAGGGGGCTCGGAACGCCGGGGAGGGCGCAGGATCGGCGAGGCGCTCAGCCCCGCGCCTGGAGACGAGATCCGCTTCTCTTTCTTTAACCGCTCCACCTGCACGGGAAACGCGGGACCACAGTCAATCCTTGTCTTGTGTTTTAAATTATAGCAGAACAATAATCATCATAATAATCACTTATTTATTCCAGGAGAGCCGCACCGAGTCCACCACCGAGTCGGGACTCAAACCCAGGCCCTACATGCTGCGAGGCGCGAGCGTCACCACCGCACCACCAATCCTGTCGCCCAGTCGGTACGACGGACAGGGCGGTTTTATTATTCACAGTTGATTCTTTCGGTGGGGCCACGTCATGGTCCTAACAACGGCAAGTGGAAAATCATTACACATTTGCTGCACGTGCGCGACGCCTGCCAACCTGTTGCCAGCTTGTTACATTGTAACCCAGGCCGGTGCCCCCCCCCCCCCCCTCCCCCCACCATCACTCCCCCAACTCGTCCGTCTGTCAAGAGCACCGCCGTCGTTTTTAAGAGCGGCCGACGATTGGACGACGCCGGTCGGCGCCCGCCCGGGTCGCCCGCGCGCGCCTCACCAGCGGCGACGGCGTGCTGAACGGCTTGAACCGGCGCTCCTGGCTGCGGCTGCGGTGTCGGTGCTGCTGCTTGCTGTGTGTGGGGGTCAGCACGGGGCTTGCGAAGGCTGAGCGAGGGCACACCGGGAACACTGGCCCGTTAAATCATGCGCAGCGCGCGTGCGGACGTGCGCGAGCACGCGGGTGCACGCACACACACACACACGCACGTATGCGTGGAGTGGGGGAGGGGATGGACGCAGGCGACAAGAACGAACGCACGCATACAGGCACGCGCGCAGACGCACACGTGCATTCGTTCAAGAAAGGCACACGGGCGATGGATTCACGCACGTATGGGGACAGATGAACGCGCGAGGGGCAGGTACACACACGTGCACGCGCATGCCAGCCCGCACGTGTGTGTAAGATTCAGGCGCACGCACAAACACACGCATGCAAGAATGCGGCAAAGCAAGCGCGCGGACAGGTATGCCAAGACACACGGAACGGGAGCAGTGGGGGGAGGGGAGGGGGGGTACCCAAGCAATCCACGCGTGACACACAATGGCAGATGCAACAGAGTAGCAGAGATAAAATGTTAACGAGAGTCAGTTGAATGACGTGGGCACGTGGGTTTGCAGACAATCGCGGGGGTGGGGAGGGGAGGTGAAGGATGCGGAGGGGTGGCGCAAAGAGGAAGGTTGGCCGAACGGTTTCCACGGGGGAATGGGGGGGGGAGGAGGTAGCAAAATGCGTGGTTAATGCAGACGCGTCAAGAGCAGTCGTGCGGAAAAACAGTCGGGAGGAAGATAAACGGAGGCAAAATAAATGGACGTGAATGCAACAAAAAAGCGTGGGCACACGGAAAGAGGAGAGAGGAGGAACAGAAAAAAAAAGAAAATCACGTTAAAATCATTTAAATTGAGCCGGGTTTACGTGTGCTGCCCACAATCAACATATACTGCAGAAGCCACCAGCGAGGCAAATTCTCGCGGTGGGTTTACGTCTCGTTTGTGTTGCTCCAGACCCACAAAAAAACAAACACTCCACACGGCACGCCGGAGCGTTACACGCAATTGGGGTTATTATGACGGGACCTGAATATATTCACGCGAGACTAGCTGTCCGGGAACTATTCGCATATCTCCCCCACAGCCCCCAACCGCGCTAACCGCCCCCCCCCCCGAACCCTAACCACCACAGGACAAAACAATTTGAAATAAACGAAGGTGCTTCCCCCCCCCCCCCGCATTTGCCGCGAGCGTTTCGTCATGAAGTCGAACGCGATGGCCGTAACGTTTGAGGGCAGGCGGTAAAGCGGCCTGCCCGAAGACATTCGCTCGCCGACGCGTGGTTTTTCGGGCTGTGCCCCACCGCCAAGAGCCATTCGGCACGTCGTCTAAACGCCGCGCTTTCCACGTGTCGGGAGAGCTACGGCAGGAACTGAGTTCAGCCACGGCGCCAGTGCTGTTTGGTTACAGCACCGGGACCATGGTGAGTGGTGGAAATTCCACGATCCGATGGTGTGGCGGGGGAGGTGAGCCCAATTCAAAGTCTAACGGTTGAGGGCTAAATCGCCTCCTGAGAATCACCTACCATCGTCCCTTTTCTCAAGCTCTCATAATCTTGCTCAATTCAAGAAGCGCGTTAACTCTATTACAAACTTGTTACGGTCCGCGTGGCGTTACGGGCCTCTGAGCCTCGCGCTTAGCGACCGTGATAAAAATATTTTTATTACAATCAGTTCCCGAAAAATCTCCCTGCACGTGGCGCGAAACGTCAGACATCGTGACAAACGGCGCACGGTACAACCCCAAAACAAGTCGGTGAGTTACAAAGCACAATCACGAATGCGCCTACACAGATGCCCCTAACATGACCCCGACCCACAGCTCCATCCTGGTCGCCCCTTGCAGGTTACCCTTCACAGAGGTCGGACTCATGGGCTGGCACACATCACCCAAGTTATGGGGGAGGCGGCGGCTCTAATCTTTCATATTGCGCCATCGTTTTAGCCGATGATGGCACACACTGTGCCAACCACGCCGGTTGCTGCGTGGCGCAGGGATGGGGGCGGTGATTTGCATGAGGGCGGTCGCCGTTGGAGGTTGGATCGGTGTGAGATTGGTGAGGAGGGCGGCAGGGAGACGGAGGGTGGAAGCAAGGTTAGTTCGCTAAGGGGTTGTTAAACAACGCCGCTAAACCACAAGTCTTGCCCAAATCGCATGTAATGTTAACCTAGTGACATTACAGTATAATACACAGCCCTTAGTTAATCCACTGCTGGATGAAAGCCTGATCATTCTGTGTCGCGGTCATTGGGTCTGTTTGATCGTACTTCACCAGGCTGGTCAATGCAGGTTGGTGACAGCAGAAGATGGTCAGGACCGGTTAAGATATCACTCGCCACTGGTAGTGGCCCAGGCGAGGAATCAAAGTCAGATTATGTGGCTATGCTCATCTTTTATTTCGAGCCATAAAAGCTAGTGGTGGAAATTCCATGTTATTATGGTTGGGACGAATGTACATCCACAGTTTAAAAACTGTTGACATCTCACAAAGTGGTTCTCATTAAATCGACCCCCAGAGGGATTAAGGGCCGATTCAACTCCCATGGAGAAAAGGGAAAAAATATATTTTTGTATTTTTCTGAATTTTATCGCAATTGTGGTGTCGGCACCGTATCATAGAGCGAAAAATCCATTTGGAACCCTCGCAGAGACAGTGCAATCTGCCACGTTACACAAGAGCTAATGAAATTGGATATCACAGAACAACTTCTGACATTTTTAAAAAATAAGTCAAACAGACAATAAAAAAATGGTGTGGAACCATCTTTAATATGACGGAGGTTTAAAAAAAAAGAAGCAATCACTGGTGTCTGCTGGGCTGCGACCATCAACTCCACTGCACTTGAGAACCCGGTTTTAATCACAACTCAGTTACGGGGTCTCTATGCGAGTCTATAGGTCTCTAAGTCAGTCTACGGGTCTCTATGCAAGTCACTGAAGACAGGGTTTAGATCACTAATCCACATCACTTGCGAAACCGCTTTAATCGCAGGCAGCGGCTGAAACCCGGATTAGAACCTAGCGTCTCAGCAGTGCCGGCTCAGGGTCTTTGAACTTCCACCACCGCCACTACCTTCCGAGATGGATTTGAACGCAATCTTCCAATTAAGAGTAGCACACTGATGCTGCTGCTCCACGATCTGAGTGGGTATTAATCATTAACGAGCGATAATCCCACAATCAATAGTCGGGCGGTAACTAATTAAAAGGAGAAGAAGTGTTCTGCCTATTGAACTGACGTCAGCCGAGAATATCGATCGCGACGCTCGTCAGCGAAAAACGTTGATCACATTTTACTTTTGTGAGCGGAATCGTGGCGTGCGTTAAAACATCTTAGACATGCCTCGCCATCAATAATGATAAAACCCATCGATCGAGAGTGAAACACTGCGGGTTGATATCCGTATTTAAACCGATCTTTACACGCTGTTGGGTTGCTGAGAGTTTGAGAAAACTGACCCCGGCATCGTCGATATCCCTTGGCTGGTAATCCTGGGGGGGGGGGGTGGTGTTTGGGATTTCAATCTGAGGATTAAACTGGGATTTTACCAAGGGAGACTGGTTCCCAATGAATGCACAGACAGATAACAAAAAAAACGCATTAAGTCCGTCACTTAAAATGGCAAAAAAATTGGCGTTTGAAAAGCAACAAAATTCAGTTATGGACATTTCTCTGCAGTGAGACGCGTTGGAAAGTACAGTGTGAATAAGAGGTCACCACTTTAATGAACCTCAGAAGTGGCTCTGTGATATCTCCTTTTCAGGGACCGTGTTCCAACACGGAGTGGGGACCTGCGCTGCCCATTGTGAGCGTTTCCTCCTCCGACGCCGACGGCACAATTGCTCATTTAGATTCCGAAAAGAAAAGACGTTAAATTTTTTTTAAAAATATATATATATATATTTCACTCCATCTTTCCACCGTGGGGAGATGGAGCGATCTTGACGGAGCGATCTTGACGGGAAATTATGAAATCGGCTCGTGCATAGGGTGCTGGGATGGATGGCATGCGGATGCCTTCATCCAGCAGTGGATTGGTCATGGCTGATGATGGCCACAATGACGATGGTGCGTCCCAGGCAAAAAATGCCCACTCACCATGCAATGCATGTCATATGACATCACCATACTGAGCACGTAGTGCACAAGCAGCCTTGTTTTAGACCAGAATAAAATATTGAGTTAAGGCAGCTGCAGGACTCACGCAGAGACCCAGAGACTCACGCAGAGACCCAGAGACTCACGCAGAGACCCAGAGACTCACGCAGAGACCCAGAGACTCACGCAGAGACCCAGAGACTCACGCAGAGACCCAGAGACTCACGCAGAGACCCACAGACTCACGCAGAAACCCACAGGCTCATGCAAAGACCCACGAGTTGACGATGTACTCCAATGTATGTCGCGATGCGCCCCAGTCCCATTGAGATTATTTTATTTTCCATTTGTGAAAAGTGCACCTGCCATGGCCAGATCAGACACGATGTAAGGTAGAACCTGTCGCTTGCGAGGCAGAGAGCATTCCTGATGGCGAATAATACTGCTGATGCGGATAATGATGAGGATGATGATTAAGGGCCTACGGGCCAGACAGACAGACTTGTGGTTCGGCCGGCTTAACGCTTAAAGCAAGGCAAAATCTCACGCAAGCGGAGAAGGTGAGACGCGGTTACCACCCCGCTCGTGCATGCAGGCGACATGCACACACAACATGCGCTCCGTGTGGGATGGCAGGGTGGATTCAACAGACACACGTGCTCACGCGCGCTCACGCACGCTTACTCGCACGCACACATGCACTGACTGGTTAATGTTACAGGAGCAATTCAGCATCATGCACAGCTTGGCATCATGGTTACATGAACAGAGTTAACATGCGGGACTCGCGAGTTTAAGTGCAGAGTCCATCATAAGTTACTTGCTCTTGATGTTAGTTTACAGTACTTATATTTGCTTATGTTTAATGTATGCTGTTACCGTATTCTCCGGATTAATTAGGCGCATTTTCCCCCCTCTGTATTTTCAAGCGAAAGTTAGGGGTGCGTCTTATATAATCTGGTAGGCGCGTGTGTTAGTGTATGGTTATTATCTGTGTGTGTTTGTGGCCTTCATAGGTGCTCGCTAACAGCACTTGCCCCTACAGTCTGTTAAGGCTATACGGAGGATCTTTTGTATTGGTGTGAATGATAGTGCGAGTACGTGCAAATGTGTGTGTTAGTGTGTGGGGAGCAGTAGTGTAGCGCTTAACACGCTGTGCTACGAACCCTGTGACCCGGGTTCGATTGCCGCTCACGGCCAACACCAGTGACGATTATCTGAACCGGTACTGGGCCTCCCCTAGGTCGACTCGGCCTCAAATGAGTACCTGTGCAGTGTGTAAAAACATCCCCACTGGGGAGACAAAGGCGGCCGGGTGTGGTGTTCGCCACCTACCCCCTCGTGTACCGTGCCGGCCTTCATTAGGTGCTCGCTAAGAGCACTTGCCCAACAGTCTAAGGCTATACGGCGGATATTTGTTTTTGTCTTTGTGACAGAGATCTGTATAATGTTATTGATATCAGGGTTGGGTCTTACTTTCCGAAGCATCTTATAATCTGTAAAATACAGTAGCCAGTCAAAGGTTAAGGTTAGGGCTTTGCCCACTTTCAATTGGCTTGGCAGGTATTAAAATGTGGACTCAGCTATATTTGTGGAAAATGTTTCAGCTTTAAATAACCTTCTATAACATCATAAAATATTACATCAGTCACTCAAGACAGGCTTCTCAATGTGTGCTTTGTCATCGTGGAATGCAAGTGATATGAGAACTTCGCATAGGAATGTAATTGGAGTCATGACAAAATTGACATCGTATCTTATCAAGCTACAGTGCTTCTGGGGTTGGACGGTGGCACAGTGCTTGGCGCACTGCACATTGAACCCGTCCGGTCACCTGAGTTTGAATCATGTCCATGGCGAACACAAGAAGCCAAGAAGCATGCTCAAACAGCTCCTAATGATCCATAAGAGGTTTTTTTTTTTTACGTTAATCCCCTCCCACTTTGCGCAAGAGCGCAGAAGTGCCATCACCACATCTACGCCTCTATATAAGGAACTAAACAGGTGGACTTCTCCACAAATCTGCCTGTCGCCTGATGAAGCTGGTTGTAATTACTGGCGAAACGTCGTACTCAGATTGTAAGTGCTGTGGCTCGGCTCTCCAACACACCGGTGTGCTGTACTAGTGACGAATTGGCCACGTTCTGTTTACGTGACAACCCTTACTAGTTGGCTGTCGTGTGGTGGCGGGTTTTAATGACACATTTATATATTTACGCGATCTAACCCAAAAAACACTCTATTATGGATGATATTGGTCACGGAAGCTTACGTGTTAAACTCCTAATGAATGGCAAGGTGTGGGGGAGGCCTTCATCCAGCAGTGGAATAAAAAAAGGGCAATAAATAGTATAACTCTTCCATCTTTTAGAGCAAGTAACTTGTTGCAAACCCTGTACGTATATTTATTTATACATGTAGACACAAAGAAACACATTAACCTGTTATGATGTTAAAAATGTTAGGGATGGCTTGAAATGTCACACAGGGCCATGAGAACACAATCAACAACAAAAATGGAAATGTTAAAGGAAAAAAAAACATGTGGATGCACACACGTTGAGACTGCCGGTTGACGTCGGGACTTGTTTGCGAGGTTAACGAGTGAGATGTGGGACACCGTGGTCTCGGGCAGAAAGATGAGTCAGCCAACGGGGTCGAGATGAGGCTTTGGGAATTCTGCTCCTAACAATTTGAATCGAGGGGGGAGAAAAGGGACGTGGGCCTTCACGGCACGTGGCTCAGCGGTATAGCGAGCGGCTCGCAAGTCGTAGGGTTGCGGCGACGAGTTCAAATCCTGGTTGAGGGGGTTGACGCGGCCCATCACCATAATCATCATCATAATCATTCCTAATGGGGTCCATAAAATGAGTACCACTTTGCGGGGAAGTCAACAGTGGTTTGTGCGCTGTGGATATAATCGCCCCCAATGAAAAGGAACATGGAATGCCCATTAGCAGCTCGTGGCCGAACACAGGAGATGAGCACCGATGCCTCAATGGTCATTCGATCAGGAAGTCACTCATTTTTCGAGCTCAGGATGAGAATTGTTACCGGTCGTTTAAAAAAAAAACTCTTTGCGCATCTAAGTAATTTATGTAAGCTGCTACCTATGCGCAGAGCTCCGCTCAACGAAGGATTCTGAATTTGTAACGCACAAAAGAATTGCTCGGAGGCGCAGTAAACCAGACAAGCAGCGAAGGCGTCAACAATTGCCCAAGCTCTGTAGTCTTACATTGCAATGTTTTGGCCAGATTGTGCCTCTCAATTCCGTTGTTGCTGAAGGACCTTGTTGTATACTTGTGTGAGGTATGGTATTAAGTTTTAAATATATGATGATAGGCGTCATTTAGGCTGTTATGTTAGGACCGCGGTTAGTGTTTGTGTTAATAGCCCAATCATGCTGGAGGTCAAGTCACAGTTAGACAAGAGGGTTCAGTGTGGTAAGTCCAGGTCTATGTTAGTTATTATTTTATTGTCGTTAGGACTTGGGTTGGCGACTCGTGGTTATATTTCAGGGACTGAGACGTTTATGGGTTTTTTTTTTTAAATCCCCGCAAGATTAAGACACACGACGTCGTTAATACGCTTGGGCTCACCAGTAAATAATCTATCACGCAGATTTTCCACGGACAATGTTACGATTCTTCGCAATCGATTTGTTTTGGGCAAGGCCACTTGTAAATGCCTTTCGACAGACATTTTCCCAGATCGTTACGCGGCCTAACCCAACAATCAATTATGAACCCGTTATAATCTATTGGCTGGATTCAATAGGGGGGCGGGGTCAGTGCCAGTCCCTTTGCTACAAACACCTATTAACACACTGCTGAATTACATTCGGCACTTGAAGACGCGATCATTTAAACTTTGACCGATGTCGTGATGTTGTGAGCGCTCCGCTGCGTGCTATTGATTTCGCTTTCGTTCGCTCGTGTTATTTTTTTTTTTAACTGGCCGCTGGACTTCCAGAGTTTGGATTTTTCTGTCTTGTATCTGTTGTCAAAAATGCTTTTATCAATAAACATATCTGCACGTACTCCAAAACAACACGTTCACGCTTTTTATAATCAATCTAAATTAGTTCACGTACGGTCGTTTTATTGATTAACGTTTTCTAATACGTCATAAAAATAAAAAAACACTTCTGGCCAGCGTGGATGACGAGGCCAAAATACCTCTCGAGTGAGGCTCACTCTCTAGCGCTCCCTCAATCTAACGGAGGCTCTTCTGCCAGCATTGTCTTGAGCACCTTAACCATTATAATTTTGCCCGTAAAGAAAGGCAAAAAACTACCAACGAGGCTTGAAGCTAGCGCAAACATTTGAGCTCATTTATTCTTCTACTGGGCTGGGATGATCCAAGCTAGATTTCGCCCAGGCTGGTTGGGCCGACTTGGCCGGCAGTCTGCTGTGAGGTGTAGCCGAGGTGCTTGGCCAGCGTCCAGGCCGGTACCTGGGCAGTGACCTTCCCCTGAGAGCGTGGCGACACTCCGGCTGCGCGCCAGCGACGAGTGCGTCGGCGTCAGCAGGCGGCTCACGATGCTCATCTCCATCGGCGTTAGCTGGGACCGCCGACCTGGGGAGCGCAGACGCGTGCACACAGGCGGACGCGTGCACACGGACAGACGGGCGCACACACAAGACAGGCAGACGCATACAAGCACGCTCGCACGCACAGACACGCAAAAACGCACAGAAGCATACACGCACATGCGCTCGCGCACAAAGACGCATACGTAGGCGGATGCACACATATGCACGCCAATACGTACATACACGCACACATGCACATTTGCGCACACGCACACAAAAGGCACACAGTTCAAAATAACCAAAAACTCAACCAATGGAGGCTCAACGCACACAATTGGCAGCATTGAGTGGCACTGAGCGGGCAAAGCCGAAGCCCAAAGCCACGTAATGGAACCACTGCCCAGACCAAGGACTTCACTTGGCACAATGCGGTCCCCACGGGTCGGGCCGTGCGACTATTAAGACAAAAAAACGGTTAATAAAGTGCATCTGTTCTTCTGCTATGCGCCCGTACGTGACCTTGATTGGTCAGACCCCGGACTCTCGCTGGTCCCTTAAAGACCGGGTTTCACTCCACGGGTGAGACAGCGGTCTGTGTTCCTCCGCTGCTGTAGCAAGACCATTAAATTCTTTGCCCCAGGCCATCAGAGACTTGGATTATGATGGATATGTTTAAACCTCATCTGAAAAGCAACTTTTAGTCACTGGAATTTTAAAATGACAACATTGATTTGATTGTGACAGAAGTTGATGTGTTGTGTCTGAAATTTTAAATCTGTTTTTGAATTTAAAGTACTCTTTTTTGCATTTCCTTTTTGTCCAAGGCGCACATATACTGTAAATATTATGATTCTTAACGTGTTGATTTGGGCAGCCGATATTACAATTCCGAATCGATTTTTGGGTTAGGCCTCACAATGATCTGGCCAGATTTTCCTGACATTCTGACTTCCTTTAGTCCAGCCTGAAGATGGCTTGGTGCAGTTTAAGGCAAAGTGAAACGTCGCAAAATCCGATTACAAAATGTAGCTGTGAGAGTAATTCTTCAACTGAACCAGTGAGAGTGAGCTTAAACAATAATAACTTGCCCGCCGCTAATCGCTTGCATCGGTGACAATTTCATTCGTCTGGCTATGTCGCGCGTCGGAGGCTTACAACGACACAATATTGGCCACATCATCATTTACGTGGCCGATCCCCGAATATCGATGTACGCCTCATCAGCCGCTACCGCTCGTTAACATGGGAGGGGGACACGGGGCGCTGACGATGATACGGAAATGTTAGAGCTCATCAGCACAGCCGGAGCGCGCGAAAACGCGCGTGGCGGAAAGGCGTTGGAGCCACTCTGCGTGAAAATGAATCGGCCGTTAATGGGCACTCGGCGTGAAAAGCCCGCGCGTGCATGCACACGATAGGCGCTGAAGCAGCGGGAGATGGTTAGCGCGCAAAAAAACCGAGAGTTTTTGCCGACAACAATAATGAGTGCTGGCGAGTTGGGGTGAGCGGTGGCGGCTCTAAGGGCAGCCGATGTGGCGTCTGATGGGCGGACGCACGCTGCACGTACCAAGCCAGACACTCCGATACGGGCAGAGCAGTCCAAACACACACACCCAACTGGACACACCAATCCACATCTACACACAACGATACGGACACACCAATGCACATATACACACCTAACTCGACACACCGATGCACATATGCACACCAATACAGACCCACCGATCCACATACACACACGCATCTAGGCAGACATAACTAATCTAGACAGACACTCAAATACAGATACATCAGGCTGGACAAACCATGACAGACACAACGATCCAGACCCATCACATTAAACACACTACTCCAGGATACTCCAACCTGGACAGATACAACATTGTGGACACAAACCTATCCAAACGAACGCAAGTCGTTCTGGACACAACGCTAAAACCACACCATAACGAACACACCACTGCAGACAGTACAGACACAGTGTGTCCATGGAGGCGGTGGGTGGTTGAATGGGGGTTGGCGAGTCGCGCATCGAAGGGAAGGCATGACATGCTGCGGCCTCGGATTAAGCATCTGCACAGAAGCGCGCGCGCGTCTCACGCGTTAATTACTCGGTGGATTTACCGTTCGTTTTCTTCCTCTTTCCGGACGAACCTACGGTAACCGGACGGAGGTGGAGGAGGAGGAGGAGGGGGAGGATCAACCACAAATGTTTTACCATTTTACGGAAACTGATCGTGCGCTTCTATAACTAGGGACGATTCCAACGACTGGACTGTCCCAGTCGGCCTGAAATTCCCTAAACTAACTTTACTAACGCCCAACCCAGGAAACCTAAAAACGCTGGAGGAAAAGGCAGCGGTGGAGTGACGTGATGCAGACGGGAGGGGCAGGTGGAGGTGATTATGTTGGGGACGTTCTAAGAATTAACTGTGAAATTGAGAGCTGTCTGGGTGACCGGGCACAGGACAGCATTGGTACGCGAGCGCCGTACGAATGAAGACTGGTAACAACTCAGCGGTGCAACCCGCCGCTAGTTCCGGCACGCTTCGCCTGCAAAGGAATGAAACCGCGCGTCGCCGCCGTCACCGTCGTCTACGCCACCTGATCGCGTCGCCTGCAGGCAACGACGCTGCGCTGCCCCCCACTGCCAGGCCGGCTCCACGCGCCCGAGCTATCGGTTGCGCGCAACTCCATCGCCCTGTTACGTGGACGTTTCCGCGACCGCCGAAGCAGCAAACTTTTTTTTTTTCATCAACGCAGTTGCTGAGCGCAGGCACCAAAAGGCCCAAAGACGCCAAACGGTCAGCAACAAACAGCACTCCCATGTTTGTAAGAGGTAGGGGCACTATAAATCGACACGGCTGCTTTACGTCGATGTCGAGGGCGGCGGTGTGCTCCGAATTGGGAGCTCCACCGCAAGATTTCAGCTTCACCCGAGCCTGCGCCGTGTACAGCAGCAGTGGCCCTTCGCGTCGCTGGCGCGGCGCCCCGTGTGCCCGGCACAGACACGCGGCTTCCCCTACCAGGCCGATCCGGCGAGTTCAGCAGCGTTGCCGATGACATCGACAGCCTCTTGCTGACGACCGAGTCTGGCGGGTGTCGTGATAGGTTCACCGTGGAGACGGAACGCCGGTCAGGGGTGTCTGGAAGCCACGCGCAAAACACAACCCGCAAAAGGCCAAGTTAATTCTCGCTCAACCGAGCGTTGGGAGTGGTGTACATTTCCCGATTACTATCCTGAGCCAGTGGTGGAATTTCCACGTCGCTATTGCAGGGGTGAGTCATTCCATAGGACAGGTACTGTTGACCACAAAGTGGTACTTGTTTTATCACGCCTGGGGTGATGGGCTGATTAAAATCCCCAACATTGGGAGCTATGGATGGAAAGCCCCTTACAAACGTTAATTATATCATTATTATTATTACGATTGCAAGCCGCTCGCTCTACCGCAAAGCCACGTGGCCAGTCGGCTCGTGCGGCTAACAATTATAATTGAAGACAAATCATGGACACGGCACACGACACGCACAGCCCACGCCGCATGCGCAGAGGAGTGATTTCTACTCCCCTCTGAATGTCGGCGGTGAACCCTGCCGGTGGTGCCAGAAAGTGCTCCGGGGGCCGCAGCCGTCAATTCCGGTTTATTGACCGAGCGACAATCGTTTGGTGTGCTTCCCCTGAAAAGAGCCGAAGATTTAACGACAGCTGCATTAAAAACGATTACTTGTCGGCTGAAAACGCAACGTGCGCGCGCGCTTGACGCCTGCACTTTGGAGAGGCCAAAGTGACCCAAATCAGCCGAGCAACGGGGGACGTAACTCAGCGCTGAAATGCAAACGCGAGCACGAAACGCGCCCAGAGCCCGCGTCGCGATTTTCAGGTTGATGGGGGCGAAGTGTTGTTTGCGAGCGCCTATTAAGGTCGGCACGGCGCACATGGAGGTTGATGCGGCCAGCGCCACGTACAGCCACGTTCGTCTCCCCAGTGCTGATGTTTAAACACCGCACCAGGTGTGTAAACATTTCAGTGCTGGGTCGACCGAGGACAGGCCGTGACAAGGTGTCACACTCAAACGGGTTGCCCCCCGCTTTAAAGCTCACCGCACTACTCCCACACTGCGCCACTCCTCTCCACCCATCCACACACTTGTTAGTAATATAAGAATTGGTTTCACCCTTTCTGGCAATAAAACCGGTGTCAAGATGTCAAAACACCAAACAGAAACCTTTCGCAAGGAACCATAGACCCTAGCCTCAACCAGTGTTAGACCAGAGAATGCCAAAAGGCGAACAGCACAAAGACAATCCACTTTCAGGTCATTTATAGCTCGGGTGTGAGCAGATACACCATGGGAACTTTCTTGCCAGTATCAAAATATAAGAATTGGTTAACAGCTGTTTGATTGCCAGAAAGGGTAAAACCAATTAATATACTTTGATACTGGCAAGAAAGGTCCCGTGACACTTGTTCGTGTCTGGGTGCGTGCGGGGTGGCGAAGGGTACGCTCTCACCGTGGTGGTGAGCGTGCAGGCGAGCCTAAGGTAGCGGGGACGGGCTCACTCACCGTGGTGCTTGCGCGGCGAGGCCGTGTGGTTGGAAGGTAGCGCGCCCCCCCCACGACCAGCGGTTGCGTGGGTCTCGACGGGGGGGCCCCTTCTCCTGAGCTCGGCTTATGGACGCCTCGTATCGTGCCTGTGCCAACACAAAGACAAAGATTCCCCGTGTAGCCTTTAACAGACTGTTGGGGAAAGTGCTGCTACAGCGAGCACCCACGAAGGCCGGCACGGCGCAACGAGCGGGTGGGTGGCCAGCGCCACGCCCGGCCGCCTTTGCCTCCCAAGTGGCGATGTTTACACATTGCGCCGGTTACTCATTTGAGGCTGAGTCGACCTATGAGAGGCCCAGGACCGGTTCAGTTGATCGTCACCGGTGTTGGCCGCAAGCGGGAATCAAACCCGGGTCGCCGGGTACAAGGTGTGGCACACTAATCGCTGAACTACCGCTCCCCGCAAACACCTGTAACACCACCACCACCCTCACCTTGCCCCAGGTCTTGCACCTTGCAACATAGGCTTTTGTCTCATTGGATTCTGACCACGGTAATAATCAGAGTTCAACATATCAATGCTCATGTATTTTGCAAGGGCGCTCCTATAAGAGCCAAACCGGTCACACAGACCAAACAGATGACCAAATGAGAGATTGCACAAATAAATAATTAAGCTCTGCGACAATATTTAACTTACAAACTGCCTTCCCTAGGCCTGACTGGCATCCCTGTATGTTTTCGTTTGCCCTGGCAGCTGAGCTGGGTACCAAAGGTCGCTATTGGCAGCCTTGAAGTGTGTGTGTGTACGTGCGTGTACGTGCGTGTACGTGCGTGTACGTGCGTGTACGTGCGTGTACGTGCATGTACGTGCGTGGGGAGCGGTAGTGTCGCGGTTAGTGCACTGCGCTATGAACCCGGCGACGACCCGGGTTCGATTCCCGCTGACGGCCAACACCAGTGACAATTAAATAAACTGCTCTTGAGCCTCCCCTAGGTCGACTCAGCCTAAAATGTGTACCTAGTGCAGTGTGTAAAAAACATCACCACTGGGGAGACAAAGGCGGCCGGGCGTGGTGCTGGCCATCCACCCCCTTGTGTACCGTGCCGGCCTTCATAGGTGCTCGCTAACAGCACTCGCCCCAACAGTCTGATACAGGCTATACGGGGGATATTTGTCTTCGTATTGTGAGAACTCCACGGCCCTACTAAACTTTTATTGAGCGCCAGTGTGGGAAGGGGCAGAGTTGTGTTTAGTGCACTGTGCTTCGACCCGAGTTACGATTCCCGACCAAAGATCAAATTATTGGTGACAAATATCTGAAACCGTGGAAGAAATAATAAACAATGATGTTAATCGCGACCAGAAATCGAACTCGGGTCGGCAGACACACAAGAGAAAGATCCCCCATTACCTTAACAGACTGTTGGTGCAAGTGCCGTTACCAAGCGCCTATGAAGGCCGGCACGGTACACGAGGGGGCAGGTGGCCAACACCAAGCCCGGCCGCCTTTGTCTCCCTAGTGGCGATGTTTTCACACGCCGCACTAGGTACTAATTTTATGCCGAGTTGACACACACACGAACACCCCCCCCCACCACCACCGCCCGGGCACGCCACGTGCGCCATCTCTCTCGCCTTGTCCTCGGCGAGCTTCTGCCTCCTCTTCTCGTCGACGGCGACGCGCCTCTCCTCCTCGCGCTGCCTCTGCTCGGCGAGCCTCCTCCGCCGTTCCGCCATGAAGCGCTCGTACAGCTCGCGCGCCTTCCGCTCCTTCTCCTGGAAGAGCTCCCCCCGCGACGCTGGCGCCCGCCACGAGCACCACACACCGCGAGTGTGCCACGGAGACAAGAAACGCACGGACGGAGACAGAGATACGCGCACACAGATACAAACGTGGACACGCGGACAGAAACACGAGCAAGGACACGCGCAGACGGATACAAAACACACGCAGACACACATGTAACCAAATACACAAACACACACACAGACATACAAATAGACAGACAAAAACACGCATAGATACACACAGACACATAAAGACAAATACAAACACGCACAAATACACAAATACAGACACAGGGAAAAACAAAAACTATTTAGACAAAGATCGCACATAATATCCTTGTAGACTGTTGGGGTTGTTAGCAAGCACCTATTAAGGCCAGTATTATATATTTATTGCATAACGCGGTTGTTATGAAAAGTGTATTTTGCTTCTATTTTCCTTGTTGTAGTTCTGTATTTAGTTTCATTCCTGTTTGTAATTTTGCTGACCCGGCTCACCGTTGCCAATGAGACCATCCCGGTCCCTGAAGGTCTCCGCCGGTTAAACAAAACTAATGCGAGCACGTCGGTGGATTTGCAGACAATTGCCGCAACAGTTTAATCTTCATCAAAGTCATCAGGGCCAATGTTGATGCCACCACATCTGGCCGTACGAACCCTTCCTCTGCTGCTTCCGTAGTTTGGGTAAGTCGATATGCAGTGCCATTTTTTTTTACTTTGTACATTCGGAGAAAGGCGCTGGGACACAGTGGTCTACCCGTTCCGACCAACATCTTGAGATCTCTCACGTCCACTGTCAAGCAGAAGGCGCGTAGTAGTTTATGGTTAATACACTGCGTGGTTACATGCAGGGCGGGTCTGCCAGTTTTGAACCACGAGCCTCCGCAACAAGCGGCGAAAGCGCTAGCAACGGGCAACGTTAGCCGTGCCACTGCTCCACCAATACTGTAAATACAGTACAGTATATATACCTCCTCTTTGCTGTGATGGACATGTCCCAGTATTGTGCACAGCGTCTTCAGACGAGGCTGCTTTTAGATGGTCTATAAATCAAAAATTGCATGCATTGTATGACTTCAAGAATCACGGAATTACCTTCAACCACCTCTTTTGATTAAAGAGTGCGGTCGCACGATGTGGCCATGACAAAGGCTACCTCCCTCCTCCTCCTCCTCCTCCCAGGGACCGGGCACGACAGCGGTACGGCACGCACGCGGTTCTCACCAACGCGAGTGCGAGTCACGCGCTGCCGTTAGCCCGAGCGCAGTCACATGACCGCACGTGAGCACGCGTTCACACTTCACACTCACGCAGGCACGCACACCGTCTAACAAAGACCAAGATTTCCCGGGTAGCCTTTAAAAAAAATACTGCTGGGGAAAGTGTTGCTTGGCGAGCACCTATGAAGGCCGGCACGGCATGCCAAAGAGGTGGTGTGGATAACACGACGCCCGGCCGCATTTGTCTTCCCAGTGCTGACATTGCCCACCGCACCAGGCACTTGTTTATAACCGCCAGGTTTCGAGTGCAGGGTGATACCCACTACACTGCTGCTCAGGGCCCACACACAAACACGAACGTTTCTCACAATGACTGCTGGCCTTCTCTCCTCTCTCCGATCAAGCCGTCAATCCCACCGCCCTTTGGATTTTTTTAAGGAGTGCCCACCCCACCTGCGTGCGTTCCCAGCAGAGGCTAAGCGGTCGCCACTGCTGCAGTACCGGTGTTGAGTAACGAATCAACTTTGTGCGGTATCGTTTGTTAAAAACCTATACTTTTATAAGTCTTGTCCAGTATTGATTTAATAGCAGCAGGTAAGTAGCGTAGCCTTCCTTAAGACAGTTATATGCAATTAAACTTAAATATTTACAACTTGACAATGGATAGGGGCTTCTATTTTATAACTGCACCATACTAAAAAGACAATTTCAAAAGCGACAAGATCAACACTCAGTTCTTGTAGATCTGCCGATTGCTCACTATCATTATTACCATCGTCATCATCACTACCATCTTCATCATCATCAGGACTACCACTACCTTCATTATCCTTATTATCAACTACCATCATCATAAGCAGCAGCATCACCACTACCAACATTATTATCATCATCACTACCATCATCAGTACTAGCACCACCTTCATTATCATTACTACCATCATCATTAGCAGCATCACTATCATCAGCTGCATCATGATTCATTATCATCAACATTCGAAGCACCATCCGTAGCAGCAGCAGCAAAGCACCATCATGAAAATCATTACCACCATCATGCCCACCATCCTCAACACAACACCTGCCATTCGCCACTAAGTGGCGGTGACGTCACCACGGTGACTGTGCCAGGCCAGGTACACCACCTTCATCACTCAGCACCTCCGGCCACTCACCCTGCATCTTCTCTAGCTCTTGCCGCCTCTCCTTGGCCAACCGCACTCTCTCGTCCGTCTTGGCACCGCCGTTATCAGCGCCTGCGGGCACACAACGAGCGGGCGGCGGCGGTCCGGTGAGCGGGTCGCCTACCAAGCCTCATCCCACCGCTGGCTGGTGGGGCACAGCGTGGGTAGCAACACCGCCAGGTCGCGACCGCCCAGCAACACGCGCGAGCTCGAGTGGCACGACAGCTGAGGTGTCTAGTCAACCGCCCTTTACAACAGGAAGTTACGGAAATAAATGGGTCAGCGATCGTGTGTGTGTGTGTGCGTGTGGGGCGGTTGCAAAAGCAGCCGCACAACACCACCACTACCGCCGCCTCGCCACCACGTGGCACGTACCTGCTTTGTTTGCCATGGCCGGGGGAGGGGTGGAGTTGGCGCGGCTCTCCGGTGAGCTCCGGTCTTCCAGCCTGGTGCGGCCCGGTGTGGAGGCTGCGGGTGGTTTGGGGAGTGCAGGGAAATATTGGGAGAAGGGTGGTGGTGGTGGTAATAGTAATGGTGGTAAAAGAGGAAGTGGTGGAGGAGGTGGTAGCGGTGGCGGTGACGGATGTGGTTGTGGAAGAGGTGGTGGCAAGGTGGCAAAAGTGTTCGTGGTGATGAGCATACGAAGTAGGGGGGCAATAGGGGGGCACGGGAAAAGAGAATGACATCACTCAGTAGAGGAATAACAATAACAACGCAGGATGGCACTAGTACTGCAATAATGACCAGGCTTAGACCTGCACAAAGGTCACAACCTGCATCACATTGGCATGTTCCAAAAAAAATAATTTTCATCATCATCAGCCAAAATCACTCCGCTGCTGAATGAAGACCTTCCCAAACCGTCGGCAAATCCCATGGGGTCCTACAATGCATCAATTCACGTAACTCCTGCGCACACGAAGAGCAAGCAACTGAATGTTTGCACAGATATTATACAACTAAAACGTAGAATGATGCCACAACCATTCTGCTATTCATCACGGGTAATAAAAGTGACTTGGGTGGCAGATCCCCACATGAATGAGAGTAATGCCAGGAGGAAGAAGTACAAGATAAACACTCCGGTATTGTATCACACGTAAAATATCCGTTGTACAAGGCCACACCTCGGTGATAAGCGGCATAAAACCCTTCACGAACACAAAAGCCAGGGCTGGGTGCAACGCCGAGGTCGTGGGAGCCCATATCAGTCCTTGCTCTCTCATTCATTCATTCACTCAGTCACTCTTTCAACCACTCGCCGACTCACTCACTCACTTGCTCAGTCGCTCAATGACACATGCGCTCATAAGCTATCGCACGCAACTCATTCACATGCTTGTTCACCCACTCATTCACTCGCTCACCCATACAAATACTCATCCATCCACCCACACATTGTCTCATTTGTTCACTCACTCACTGAATCAATCGTTCAGTCACTCACCCACCTACTCATTCAATCACTAGCTCACCCACCTACCCACTCACTCACTCAGCATCCAACACAGTTTGCTCAATCACTCACCCGCTCACAAGTTCTCTCACTCAACTCGCTCACACGCTTGCTCACCCACTCATTCACTCGCTCACCCATAGAAACACTTATCCATCCATCCACCCACCCACAGTCTCACTCGTTAACTCACTCATTCAATCACTCGCTGAACCACCTACCCCATCCCACTCGCTCACCATCTCATTCATTCACCCACTCACACGTTCATCCACCCACCGCGCTCTTTACAGCTCTCATGCACGGTCACGTGTGGCTACAGCTGCATAAATGCGCTGCGCTAACGCCACCCGGCGTCACGACACGGCAGTAAACGCGTTGTGCAACGCGGGCTGTGGCCTCAGGCACACAGCACAGTCACCGCCCACGGCAAGGCGGTTTACGAACTCGGAAAAATCGGCGACTCGGGAGGGAAAGAGCGCGACGCAGAGCCACGCGCGGTGCAGAACGATCACCGGGAGTGGATCTCAAAAAAAAACATTACCGACTCCCCCTTCCCTCTGCCTTTGGTCTTCCCTCAGTATGTTTGTTACCATTCCGCTCCCTCCATTCCCCCTCCACCCCCCATATACATCTTCCCCCCTCAACGCATTGTCACCACTTGGTTGGGGGCAGCGAGAGTCCAAGAGTCAACCTTTCCCCCCCTACATCCGGTCCCGTGACCAATTTTTTTCAACTTTCGTGGAGTTTGTTTACTCCAACCCCCGCCCCCCAACGCCGCCCCCTCTATTAAATTATAGAGGCTGGCTTGTAATATAGAGGCTGGCAGGTAGGCTGGGAGGCAATGTTCTAAAACTTATAATAAGAACGAGACCATTACAATTCACCGAGTCTCAAAACGATTTCATAGCAGGGTCCGACAAACACTCCGGAACGGAATTGGCCAAACATCAGAGTGTCAGGTCCCTTCTGAGAAAGAGACCTGAGAACTCAGCATAACTTTTCACGATAAGTAAAGGGCAGTGTGTATTGTATTGATTGTTTTGAGTAGGGTCGTGCCACATTGGGCTCTTTTCACCCATTCGTAAGGGAAACCATGGTAACCCAGCAAACAGAATCGGAAGATGTATTTATCCAGGAGAAATCTGACGTGCTACGAAGCTCTTTTTCATAGCCATCCCGTAGGGGCGGGTCAGAAAAAGCTTCACAGATGATAGATTCGACAATCCATTGCTCTCCTGCCATCTTCATCCATCTGCTGGGTTTAGAAGGAACGAGAGGTCACAACGGGCGTGATGGCCTCACACCACACCCATCGTGCGTCGTGCCGCCCTTCACAGGTGCTACTCGCGAAACTGCACTCGCCCCGACAGACTGCAAAGAGGCTACACGGGAGTTATGTTTTGTCTGTTGTTGTCGCTGCCTTTCCACCAACAGCTGTACGGTTACATATCCACCGCCAGATGCCCTCAAACGCTTTGGGGGCCCGTTTGAAAAGCCCGGTTGAAAAGTAACTTTAGAGCTTACTTTGGCACGACGGCCTGCAATGCGTGTCAAGCCCCTCCCTCCAGGAGCACAAAAAAACCGACAAGCGGCCAGCAACAAGCAGCACCGTTAAAGTTGAAGGAGATAAGAGTTAAGAAGTTTCCAGAATTGAGCGAGCTTATTACAAGAGCTTGCGAAAAGAGACACTGAGCGGGCAGCAGCAACCGGAGCTACCAACGTTGCAATCGATGAGAGTTGACACGTTGCTCGAGTTGTACGTATGTACGTTGAACTTCTTTCGCACCATACGTAGCCAACCGTGCTAGTCGGAGGTGCGGGAATTGAGTGAGGTTATTGTTAGAGCTTGGGGAAAACGGACAATGGGAGGTAATTCAAAAGTCGGGCAACGCGAGCGAAGGAATGTTCTCCGTGAGAAAGAACACGCCAAGCACATGCGGGATCTAGAAACCAATCGCTGAGAACACGGAGATAAGGGACAGACACGACAAAGCAATGGATCTGCTAGCACGTTCTCCCCGAAAGGGTAATAACAACTCCGCACAAGGTGATTTACGGACAGCAAGGCGGTGCGATTGTGTACCACTGGATCGGTTCTTGCCATCGTACCGCGGCGTGTCACGGAACGTCACCATGCGTGCACGCACACGGACAGCAATTTTTCACAATCTCCCACATGCGGTGCTCAGAGCACCAAATCAGGTCCCATCTTTCGGTGTCTACAAATCACATTTTGCGCGCATTACTACAACTCCCGCCGCGACGGAGGTCACCGTGGTTCGCCACTGTACGGCTCTCCTACGTGCTCTTGGGATGTACCGCGTGCTGTTTGGCACCATGTTCGAAACGTCGGACATCATTCCGAACAAAACAACACGACGCGGGACAACCCGACGGCACATCCGAGAGCGGCGACACTGTTATGCCTATTTATTTCCAACTGGGACCGCACTGATCTCTGTCCGATTAATTTCTCACCAGTTATAGGGCAGGTGGCCCGGTGGTAAAGGACGTGGCTGTCAACAGAAAGGCCATGAGATCGAATCAGTCGGGATTATACCGAACAATCGTCGCCCCCCCCCCCGCCGCCGACGGCGAACAGTTCGCAGCACCCTCCTTAAAACAGAGTCATCAGACTCGGTGAGGATTTCCTGGGTAAATTAGGATAACTTTAAATCTAGATTGAAAACTCATTTATTTAGAACTGCTTTTTGTGTTTAGTTTGTTTGTCCTTCCCCCCCCCCCCCCCCCACAGTTGGCTATGTGCGGTGCGGAAGAAATTCCACATACATACGTACAACATAATAAACAATGCAACCCATCGTCAGTCTGGGGCAGTGACAAACAGATATGAGTACCACCTTGCGGGCAACACGATAGTGGTTGTCCTACGAGTTGACCGACCTCTCCGCCAAAGTAATGTGGAATTTTCACCACTGGCTGTAAGAAGGAGACAGGGGCACCGATGCCACCTGAATGCTCACCAAATTTTTGTATTTTATGTTACACCAAATTGCAAGAACTGACCACGATGGCGTCGCGGAGTCGTACACAGGGGGCCATTAGCAGCCAGCGGATACGCGAGGCACTTAAGAGAGCACCGTGGGTGGGGCATGGGACAGGTGTGGCGGTGGATGCAGCCCACAACCACCACTACCACCGGATGCGAAGACGCTAAATTCAGAAGCTGGATTTAGGCAATGCCCTCTATCAAGCTATTTTCGTTCTGTTGTGTTGTTGACCTTTGGCTTTCCTAAGAGACAACGCCGCCGGGAGCACACCTCAGCGCGTACTCATATTAAATAAATACAAAGACAAATATCTCCCCCCCCCACCCAACCGTATAGCAATTACAGACTGTTGGGGCAAGTGCTGCTAGCGAGAACCTATGAAGGCCGGCACGGCACACGATGGGGTGGGTGGCAAGCACCACGCTCGGCCGCTTGTCTCCCTCGTGGCGATGTTTACACTTCGCACCAGCTACTCATTTGCGGCTGAGTCAACCTAGGGGAGGCCCAGGACCGGTTCAGATAATCATCATTGGTGTTGGCAGCTAGAGGGAATCGGGTCGCCGGGTTCATAGCGCGGCACGCTACACACCCACCCACACACAAATATGCCTCCTCCCATGCAGCCTTCAATAGGCCAAATGAACACGTAGTAGGCGTTCGTAGCCAATATGGACCAGGCCTCTAAATCAATGGGCCAAATTTTTGTCGCATAACCCTCCACTACCCGGAGCAGCCAAACCAATTTAAATTGTCACGTGTTGGCCAAACATCCCAATATAGCACCAGAGCTTTGGCAATTGTACGCCAACATCCCATATGTACACACAAACCCTCACTCCAGACATGCACATCTCACACACACACACCTTACGGGGTCGCGCACACTCACACGCCATTCCCTCCAACTCAAATGCTTCCACACACAACAACCGCCATTCGCCACTAGGTGGCGGTGACGTCACTACAACGCTTGTGCCAGGCTAGGTGCATTTTAAGCC